GCTGCTCAGAAAGTGCGTGTGCCGTCGATGGGAACAAGTGCTCATCTGAGGGAGCAAGGGCTGGTGAATACGGTGGGTGGGTTCATACTTCCCAGGCAAGATCTTTTAACGTGTCTTTCACTGGTTTTGAAGTGTGTGATGGTGCGTCATCATGAAGCAACATTACTTTGCCGTGTCTCCTGGCCCATTCTGGTGGTTTTACGATCAGAGCGTGGTTCCAATTGATTATTTGTTGTCGGTAGTGATCGGTATTAACGGTTTCACCTGCTTTTAGAAGCTCATAATACACCCCACCTTCCTGATCCCACCAAACGCAGAGCATTTTCTTCTCTCTGAAGCGATTTGGCCTTGCAGTCGATGTTGACCCATTTTCCTTCCTTCAAAATCTTTCCCATTGCTTGTAAATGATCGGAAATTGTTTGCTGAGCAATATTTAATCCTTCTGCAAGTTGTTTTTGAGTTTGACATGCGTCTTCATCCAATAATGCTTGTCATCGTTGGTCTTCAAATGTTTTTGGTTGACCTGGACGTTCTTTGTCTTTCACATCGAAATCATCACTTTTAAAGCATTTAAACCAGCATTCCCAAGTATCTTGAGATGGAGCATGTTCATCATAAGCTTCCTGAAGTATGCGATCACTTTCAGCAGCACTTTTCTTCAAAATAATGAATTAAAACTTCCCGCAAAATGCTCTTTTTTTGGCACGAAATTCGACATTTTTAAGCGTAAAAATATCTATGATGTTAACACCTTCAGCAAATTTGACATATGAAGTTTTGAAGCTTGTTGTCAATACAATAGCATACATATCAAATCGCATCTATATCAACATATGTGTAACTCCATCTATTGAAAAAAATCCGCATTATTCACCGGTCCACCTAGTATTGTGATTGCCGATGCCAGACAAGCACATGGAGTCAGTGCTGTTTTGTGAAAGAGTTTGGGAAGCCCTGGCCAGGTTGCTCAGTTGGTTAAAGCATCGTCCATCCTGATACGCCAAGGTTGCGGGTTTGATCCTAGATCCGGGCACATACAAGAATCAACCAACGAATGCATACATAAGTGGAGCAACAAAGCCATGTTTCTCTCTCCCTTATAAATAATAATACAGAGGGCATTATGGGAAGCAAATTCAGATTGTTTGGCTAAGGAAGACTTACCAAGGAGGTTACTTTTGAGCTGAATATTAAGAAGGGTCTGGCCTAGCCAAGACCTGAGGGCAGAGTAGACTTACCCGCCTGAGGAAGGCAGGAAGGCCCGTGTGGCTGGAGCAGGGTAAGCTCCGGGGAGCTTAGGAGCCGGTGGGGCCTCGAAGCCCAAGGTCAGGATAGCAGTGAAGCCAAGTTACCACCACAGCTGCTCAGAGTTCCTTTTTCAGTCTCTTTAGAATCAGGGCACGGACGACAGAGGAGCAGCCCGCATCCTCGTCTGTGACCTGATAGGACTGCGTGTCTTGCTGGTGAGGGCCCCGCGTGAAGCCCACGTGAACGGGGTGCGGTGTGACGGTGCTCAGCGCGGCATTCCTGTGTTCTCCCCGCAGCTCTTCCTTCCCTCCATGAGGAAGAAGCCGGCTCTGGCCGAGGGCAGCAGCCCCGAGGGCGACCTCCTCCAGGAGCACTGGCTGGTGGAGGACATGTTCATCTTCGAGAACGTGGGCTTCACCAAGGACGTGGGCAACATCAAGTTTCTGGTCTGCGCAGACTGTGAGATCGGACCCATCGGCTGGCATTGCCTCGATGACAAGAACAGTTTCTATGTGGCCTTGGAACGGGTTTCCCATGAGTAACTGAGGGGAGGGGGCCCAGCTGCACCCCCAAGTATGAGAGCGGCCCCTTTACAAGAACTGGTTTTTAACCTGGTGCAACGGTTCTGCTGCTGCATCTCTGTCCTAATTACGAGTGTGGGTACATCCAGCTGACCGGGCGGGGCCCACCCTGCTTCCTCAGAGCCTGACGTGCACCTCTCGTCTAGGTCACGTGGCACCGCCCCAAGTCCTGAGCTCCTTCCCCCAGTTGCGGAC